ATACACCCCTATATACTTATTAACTTTTAATAGGGATTAATAAATAATCAATAAAATCTCATATTTTTTTTTTTTTAGTTAATTCGGTCTTGGAACGTCTGCCTGAGAACCCAGACAACCTCCCTGCTGGAAGTGATTTAAACTGCCGATCCAGTCCTATGATCATGATGTCATCACAATTACATGGTTTTGAAGCGCTGAATCTGATGGAAAAGGACTGCCTGAGTTTAAGGCAGTCCTCGCGATCGGGATTGTCTTTGAAGGTAAGTATTTGCAGTCAATGCAGGGCAAGATAGTTAGGGAGCACTATGTTGCCCTAATGGAGTTAAAGTCCTATTTTTGCAGGGTAGCATTGTACGCCCTAATGGCATTAAGGGGTTAACTGCCTTATTCAAATTCTTAAAAAGCATGCATCATTACCTAGACATTTCCTTTAAGTTATTTATTGTAAGAGATCCATTACTGCAACAGATAAACAAATGAATCTTCCCTAATTGTATCTCACCTGTGCATCTTTATTTTTGTTGTATGGGGGAGGGATGTTTTGTTTGCACTGTACAGAAAATATCCAGCTGAGTGCGGGGCCATTTGGACTGCAAAATCCAAACATTGTTGATACCATTTGTAACGGCACCCCGGGCATAAAAGGGTTAAACCGCCGTTTAGTAGATCTTCCCTTCCAGAGACAAAGGCACAGCTACTGCAGAACACCAATCCGCCGAACAGGAAACCATATGAATGCCGTAAACAGCCGAATAGGAAAAACCATACGAATAGGTTTACACTCCTAGCAGTCGAACTGGAACAGCATACAATAAATCCCCCCAAGAACGAGACAAAGCTCCGTGTTGAGGGTCAAGCAGTGAACAGACAAAGCTGTGTGTTTATTGTGCTTATGTACACATTCTTACACATTAGTACCACTCACAGGATTTGGGAACACAACCAATAAACACATACAATACACTCAGACACTCCCACACAAAATCTTCCCCTCTGCCTGTGATACAATTACCTTACACAATGGGTAATATAATTATAACAAGCAGAGAAATACAATTTTTCCACATTATTCATAACTTAAAAAGTATGCATTACATTCACATAAAATAACATTTTCAGAATCAGCATACTCCAAAAACAAACATATGTCAAATTCATACAAATTGGTCCAATGGTTCAAAAGATAGATCGCAGTCCTTTGTGACCAAAGGAAGCATGGCTTTTCTGCCCAAAACCAGTTCAACAGAGTCTTCTATCCTGGAGATAATTGGCAAGTAATCCAATTATCTCCAAAGACAGAAGCAAAACTCCATTGAACACATGGCAGCAAAAGACAATAAAACACATAAAAACATATAACTGTGCAGCCATTGCACAAAACAGGTACATTCAACATATCCCCAGATAGCTCAGATCTGAGCGCACATTATTACTGAATGGCGCTCAGAGCACACACATACAGTTCAATTGCCATGGAGCCAAATTCTTTCCCATAGTCTTTCATTATATGAATGGGCTCCATGGCATAGCTATCTGGGGTATCACTGCTCAAACAGGGCAAGCACCAAATGACCCGGCTTTCATGTCTTTGCAGGGAAAAATCAAGCCTTTTAACATGGGGCCATAATCCAAAGGCAACAGGCGAGCAACCAGGCTTCTCCAAAGCAATGTGGTGAGATTGGTCTCGTCACACCATTGAACAATGCCTGAATTTTCTAACAAGTCTTATCTATGTGCGAGTGCTATCCAGACTATGTTGGTATAAAATATTAAGCTGACTCAAGCTGATAAGGATTTTGTTGTGCATCAAATAAAACAATTCATTAGTAAAACTCCCTGTTTAGTGAATAAGTCACCAGGCAATTTTGTGTTGTGTGCATGAGGAGTAAAATGAGCGTTGTAAGTGCATTTAATGTTCAAACAGCATAGAATTCCTTTTATTGTTCATATGTCAGCACAGTTAGTTTATATATTTTAGCCTCCATGGGGTTCAATGATTGCTAAGTTCAAAGGCAGAAAAGTTAACAGAAAAAAACAAAACAATTTGATTACTGCAGTGTTTTGTTATTTAACTGCTGTCATATTAGTTCACGTGTAGATTAACAATTAGAAAACAAATGCACAATCAGTGAACAGATGACTTAAATCATTTGCATAATGCATCATGTTCTGATTAAATGCATGAGATTATGGTTCTATTTAAAGCATTGGTGTCCAACCTTTTGACTTCCCTGGGCTGCATTAAGCGCAGAGGAATTGTCTTGGGCCACACATTAAATATATAATATAGATTGTAGATAATGTGATATTTTTAAAAGCCCTTTTCTTAATTTTGATATCTCAATTGTTTAGAAGATAACTCCCCTATTTGTCATCCTTGTGTGCAATTGGCATATTTAAGGATTTCAAATTAGGGAGCTATCTACTAAACACATACACATGTGTATACGTATGCACACTTAACCACAGATGTGGTGTATTACCAAATTAATATACACACTACACAAGGTTCGTCTACATTAAAAGGTATTTATTAGAAGGCAACAACACAGCCCAGATCCACAGAGCAACAACCCTTTTTAATCTATCTATCATCTATCTATTTATCTATCTAGTAATCCCCTTCCCCACACGTTTGATCTCACCCACAGTTAGGCCTTCACATTTAGTAATGGCTCACTGCTGCAAGTTCAACATCACATCCACCAAGGAAGAAAAGGAAGCAACAGACATAACATAGTTCACCATTATAAAAATTAGTCCATGTGTGCTCACGTCTGCTCAGTAGCACAGCCAAGAAGGAACAGAAAGGGATTGAGATAAGGGGAAGTGATTATCTCTTTCCTGACTTGTAAAGGTATTGAATTACCCAATTACCATATCAAAGGGTAAAGCTTATCCCTCTGTAAGAAAGGCATACATGAGCTTGGTAACATGTCCTTGGTCACCATATTAGTTTGATGACAAAATGTCACCACAACAGATACACACACATACAATAACAGACCTATACACACAATCACAAATACACATACACACACAATCACAGACCCACACACACATACAATCACATACCTATACACACAGTCACATACATATACACAATCACAAATGTACACACACACAGACATAATCACATATCCCACACACAATCACATACATACACAATCAATCAATCACATACCCCCCACACACATACACAGATATAGCCACACACAATCACAGACCTGTACACCCAATCACATACATACATACATGCACACACCCACAATCAGACCTACACACAATCACATACCTATATACACAATCACATACATGCACCATACACAAACATAATTAGAGATCCACACATATATAATCACACACCTATACACACAATCACATACATACAAACACATAATCACAGACATACACACAATCACAGATGCCCACACATATGTTATATGGGATATGTTATAAACCACCTAATGTAAATATTAATGAGGAAGAACAGCTGTTAGAGCAAATTGAGAAAGCTGCAAATCGAGGTAACACGTTAATTATTTGGAGATTTTAATTATCCAGACATAAATTGGGAAAGAGGGACTAGTACTTCAGCAAGGGGAATCAGGTTTTTGAATGTGTTAAATGACACCTTTATGTCACAACTGGTACAAGCACCAACTAGACAGGATGCTTGTCTGGATCTTGTCATAACAAACAATGTTGATCTTTTAACCAACATTCAAGTAGGGGAGCATTTGGGAAATAGTGATCACAATATGGTAAATTTTGAAATAAACTCAAAAAAGCAAAAGCAGGTGGGGTATACTAAAACATATAATTTTAAAAAAAGCCAATTTCAATAAGATTAGGGCAGCTCTACAACATATCGACTGGCATAAACTCCTTAGTGATAAAAACACTGAGGATAAATGGAAACTATTCAAACATATATTAGAAAGGTACATTTCTCAGTATGTACCATTGGGTAATAAATATAAAAGAAACAAATTAAAACCAATGTGGCTTAGTAGGGAAGTAAAACAAGAGATTAAAAAGAAAATTAATGTAAATAAAGCTCCGGGGCCTGACTGTATTCACCCAGGAGTACTTAAGGAGCTAGGTGGGGAAATAAGTGAACCTCTGTATTTAATTTTTCAAGATTCTTTTGTTTCAGGTGTTGTACCGGAGGATTGGAGGAAGGCAGATGTTGTTCCTATATTTAAAAAGGGTTCAAAATCCTTGCCTGGAAATTATAGACCTGTGAGCTTAACTTCAGTAACTGGGAAATATTTGAAGGGCTATTAAGGGATAATATTCAGGAATTCATTGGGAAGAACTTTTTTATTAGCAATAATCAGCATGGTTTTATGAAACATAGGTCATGTCAAACTAACCTAATTGCATTCTACGAAGAAGTTAGTAGAAGTATAGATCAGGGTGTTGCAGTGGATGTGATCTACTTGGACTTTGCCAAGGCATTTGATACGGTTCCTCACAATAGGTTAGTCTTCAAACTAAAAGAAATTGGTCTAGATGAATATTCCTGTTCTTGGGTAGAACATTGGCTTAAGGACAGAGTACAACGAGTTGTCCTTATTGGTAAATTTTCAGGCTGGACAAAAGTGGTAAGTGGTGTCCCTCAGGGTTCTGTTTTGGGACCACTTCTATTTAACATATTTATAAATGATCTTGAAATAGGCATTGAAAGCCATGTATCAGTGTTTGCAGATGACACAAAACTTTGTAAAGTAATAAAATGTGAGCAGGATATTGCTTTGCTGCAGAGAGATTTGGATAGATTGGGGGACTGGGCACTAAAATGGCAGATGAAATTTAACATAGAGAAATGCAAAGTTATGCACTTCGGGGTTAAGAATGCACAAGCAACTTACACACTAAATGGTAGTGAATTAGGGATAACCACACACGAGAAGGATTTGGGAATTGTTATAGACAACAAATTAGGCAGCAATATGCAATGTCAATCTGCAGTTGCTAAGGCCAGTAAGATTTTGTCATGTATAAATAGGGGCATAAATTCTCGGGATGAAAATATAATTTTGCCTCTTTATAAATCGCTGGTAAGACCACACCTTGAATATGCTGTGCAATTTTGGGCGCCTGTTCTAAAGAAGGATATCATGGCACTGGAGAGGGTCCAGAGACGAGCTACAAAATTGATAAAAGGAATGGAGCATTTTAGTTATGAAGAAAGGTTACAAAAATTAAATCTGTTTCGTTTGGAAAAACGGCGCCTGAGAGGGGATATGATAACTTTATACAAATATATTCGGGGCCAGTACAAACCTTTATCTGGAAATCTATTCATAAACAGGGTTATACATAGGACACGAGGTCACACATTTAGGCTGGAAGAAAGGAGATTTCATCTAAGGCAAAGAAAAGGTTTTTTTACAGTAAGAACAATAAGGATATGGAATTCTCTGCCTGAAGAGGTGGTTTTGTCAGAGTCCATACAGATGTTTAAACTGAAATTGGATAAATACTTACAAAAACATAACATACAGGGATATAATTTCTAATTAGTGGGGTAATAGCTGATTGATCCAAGGAGACATCTGACTGCTATTTTGGGGTCAAGAAGGAATTTTTTCCTAGTTTGTGGCAAAATTGGAAGTGCTTCAGACCAGGTTTTTTGCCTTCTTTTGGATCAACAGCAACAACATTTCTGAGGAAGGCTGAACTTGATGGACGCAAGTCTCTTTTCAGCTATGTAACTATGTAACTATGTAATAATCACAAACTTACACACACAATCACAGACATGTCCACAGATCCCTGCCCCCCCGACACACACACACAGCCAATCACTGACAAAACATACACAAAAATCACATGCACACACATTTTATACTAAAGAGGTCCACCCAGCCTCCCTTCCTTGCTCTGGGAGTGCTGGAGTGGATCCTCTTCCTGGTGACCAGTGGTTGCTGCTGGGTTGGAGCCTGGGACTTCTGTGCTCTTCATGCACAGGTCCCTTGCGCACCCAGCAATGATGTTGGGATGATGTCATATCCAAGCAGACAGCTCACTGCCGGGCGGTGAGGAAGCTGTGCAAGAGGAGCACAGAATGTAATGGGCTCAGGGGTGTACCTAGAGCTTTTTGCACCCCTCTCCCAATTCAAATGTAAAAAAAACAACCACTATATACTACATTAAAAGGTATTTATTAGAAGGCAACAACACAGCCCAGACCCACAGAGCAACAACCCTTTTTAATCTATCTATCATCTATCTATTTATCTATCTAGTAATCCCCTTCCCCACACATTTGATCTCACCCACAGTTAGGCCTTCACATTTAGTAATGGCTCATTGCTGCAAGTTCAACATCACATCCACCAAGGAAGAAAAGGAAGCAACAGACATAACATAGTTCACCATTATAAAAATTAGTCCATGTGTGCTCACGTCTGCTCAGTAGCACAGCCAAGAAGGAACAGAAAGGGATTGAGATAGGGGGAAGTGGTTATCTCTTTCCTGACTTGTAAAGGTATTGAATTACCCAATTACCATATCAAAGGGTAAAGCTCATCCCTCTGTAAGAAAGGCATACATGAGCTTGGTAACATGTCCTTGGTGACCATATTAGTTTGATGACAAAATGTCACCACAACAGATACACACACATACAATAACAGACCTATACACACAATCACAAATACACATACACACACAATCACAGACCCACACACACATACAATCACATACCTATACACACAGTCACATACATATACACAATCACAAATGTACACACACACAGACATAATCACATATCCCACACACAATCACATACATACACAATCAATCAATCACATACCCCCCCACACACATACACAGATATAGCCACACACAATCACAGACCTGTACACCCAATCACATACATACATACATGCACACACCCACAATCAGACCTACACACAATCACATACCTATATACACAATCACATACATGCACCATACACAAACATAATTAGAGATCCACACATATATAATCACACACCTATACACACAATCACATACATACAAACACATAATCACAGACATACACACAATCACAGATGCCCACACATAATCACAAACTTACACACACAATCACAGACATGTCCACAGATCCCTGCCCCCCCGACACACACACACAGCCAATCACTGACAAAACATACACAAAAATCACATGCACACACATTTTATACTAAAGAGGTCCACCCAGCCTCCCTTCCTTGCTCTGGGAGTGCTGGAGTGGATCCTCTTCCTGGTGACCAGTGGTTGCTGCTGGGTTGGAGCATGGGACTTCTGTGCTCTTCATGCACAGATCCCTTGCGCACCCAGCAATGATGTTGGGATGATGTCATATCCAAGCAGACAGCTCACTGCCGGGCGGTGAGGAAGCTGTGCAAGAGGAGCACAGAAGGTAATGGGCTCAGGGGTGTACCTAGAGCTTTTTGCACCCCTCTCCCAATTCAAATGTAAAAAAACCACCCACTATTTTAAAAACTTTTTTTAATGTTTTCTAATTTTTCTTTTTTATTGCCTACTACAACAGTAGTAGACAATAAAAAAACTTTCTAAACTTCCCGTTCTACAAAACATGTGCCCCCTCTACAAAACCCCTGCCCAGTCCCACTTCTACAACCCCCCACCTTCTACTAAACCCCTGCCAAGTCCCCACTTCTACAAATCCCCTGTCAGGCCCCCTTCTACAAAAAAACACTGCCCAGTCCCCCCTCTGCAAAAAGCCCTGCCCCCTGCGCAAAAAAAACCTGCCCACCCCCTCTCCAAGACCTTTGCCCACCCCCTGCACCCCATTCACAAAACATCCTGCCCCCCACAAAGACCCCTGTCCCCATACAAACTCATTTATAAAAAGAACCTGCTTCCTCCCAAGACCCTTCCACAAAAAAACCCCCCAAAACACTTTTAAACAAAAAAAAACCACAAGCACTTACCCTGCTCCTCCACCTTCTTGCTGCTCTCTGCTGATCCGGACTCCAGACTCTCACACACACAAAAATGGAAATGAGCAAGTCCCTAAAAAATTATAAGGAAAGTTTATTCAAAACTGGACAAAAACTTTATTGAAATCAGAACTATTCAAGGACTCAAATAATCAGTAAAAAATTTAAATAAATCCATCAGCTAACAAAAGAAAATATATACATATAGAGTCTCCTAATTATATCTCAGTCTATGGAGTGAATATAAGGAAGACATGAGTTTATAATCCCACAAAGGTAAATGGCCTGGCAATATAACACACAATTGATCCTTAGAAAAATAACAAAGAGGACTGTTACAAAAAAATGCTACTTAATTAGTGTAGATACTCACTGGGAGTCAACATATTTGTCTGTCTTGATATAATGATACTTGAGGTAAGTATGTACCAATCAAGTCTCTGTAACACTAACAGTAGTAGTGATTAGGTATAATACATTTGACTATATAAACCGAGGAGATTTGGGGGAAAGGGTAAAACAAAAACAAAAAAACACAACTAACTAATGAAAAAAGAACATTTATTTGTAAAGGATAACTTATACCTAATGCTAAATGCTATATTTCAAAGCATATAGCCTCCTAATACCACAGGCTGGATCTCCGATATAAGGATATATCTGAGAGTGCTACCATGACTTAACCACTTGTCTTGCATTAATCAAGGCACTCTATCAATGGTTAAAAAGAGTCAAAGGTATCTTTGCAATAACACATCCCAAAAAAATCTGATTATAGCTAGAGACTCCTACAGACAAATCACTAATCACAAAACATGCATTTTCTAATGGAATTTTCATCAACACCACTGCAAAGGTTTAACAACATCTATAAGAGTGTTGGAAGTGCAATATATGAGCCTAACCGCATCAAAGGCTCCAACATTAGTGAGTGTCACTATTATTTATTTTCTGACAGTTCTTTTTTTATTACATATTGC